AGATTCAAAACAATGTCTCAGATAAACCAACTGCAGACAGGGTCTATTACTTCAAAAAACTTTCACTTCAGCAAAACTACATTTTGAAAAGAACTTTACCTCCCAAACATGTACTGTATCTCATTTTCAATCAATATGTAATAAAAGCAGCATTTCCATATTTATGCACAATAGGTTACAGTTTTGTCTTAAAGCAGCAATTAAATCACTAAGTATTTCATAATTCAGTTATCCTATTTCTAGACTAAGCAATATTGTAATAATGATTGTGTGAACTTTTGTGCAGACACAGCAAAGTAAAACTTTATTTATTTAAACAACTCTCTAATGGGCTTTAGGACACACTATCCCCAAAATATGGCACCTTGGCATTTGAGAAAACAGCAAAGCAGGAAGGTCTCTCTGACACTTCCCTGAAGCAGAACATAACATAATTCTCTGACCTTCTGAAGTCAGTCCTAAGACCCTCATTCCAGAAGTGTCTACCCTATAACAGGAGGAATAGAATGTCCTTATTTCTGAAGACACAGGGACACAGACAAGAATCTGAACAAACAGGTCTGGCTAAGTTCTTCCTAGTTTATGACCATTAGATCATAAACTTTGTCCAACCAACCTTGTGTATGACTGTCCACTCTTCATCAAAACTAAGCATAAAAATACACAGTCTGTCCACTCTTCATCAAAACTAAGCATAAAAATACACATATTTCCTTGTTTTTTTTTGAGGGGGGGGTCTTCATTTCTGAAGGCCCATCTATCACATAAATCTTATACAAAATGAAATTGTATGCTAGTCCCTTGTTGAACTACCTTTGGTTATAGGTGTCTGAGCCACAAACCCTGCAATAGATGTGAGGAAGATATTACTTTTTCTCTTCTACATCACTCAAAAATTCTTACATGAAATGTTTTACCCATAAACAATTCAGAGTATACCAAGGCACAAATACTCAAATAATGATTTATTACTAATGAATGTTACTGGCAATGCATTACTACAGTTAGTCTGCAGAATAGACGAACATATAAAAATCTCATGTGATTGAAAAACAGTAATCATTAACATTTCAATCACTGGATACGGACAAATTTTTTCCTTATAAATTCCTTTAGCTTCTAGAAGCATGTGGTTTACAAAATGACTCCATATGTTACATGAAACATAAAAAGGATGCCACAACACATACTCTTCAAAAGAAAACATACAAATGGCCAATCAACATGAAAAATGCTCAACAGCACTAATCATCACAGAAATACAAATCAAAACTACCATGAGATACCAATGAGAATGGCTATTGTTGGCAAGGATGCAAAGAAAAGAAAATGCTTATACCCTAATGGTGGGAATGTAAAACAGTTCAACCCCTATGGAATACAGTATGGAGATTTCTCCAAGAACTAAACACAGAACTACCATTTGACCTAGCAATCTCACTAGAGTATCTACCCAAAGGAAAATAACTCATTTTATCAAAAAGAAACCATTCACAATAGCAAAATCAAGGAATCAACGTTAAGTGTCCATCAACAATGGACTGGATAAAGAAATGTGGTATATAAACACCAAAAAATACTACTCAGCAATAAAAAAGAATCAAATCATGTCCTTTGTGGCAACATGGATGCAGCTTGAGGCCATCATCCTAACGGAATTAATGCAGAAACAGAAAATCAACACTGCATGTTACCATTTTTAAGTGAAAGCTAAACAGTGGATACACATGGACGTAAAGATGGAAACAATAAACACTGGGAACTCCAAAAGAGGGGAGGAGGGAAGAGCACAAGAGCTGGAAAAAATACCTATTGGGCATTGTGTTTACTATTTGGGTAATGAGTTCACTAGAAGCCCAACCCCCAGCATCACCCAATATATTCATGTAACAAACCTGCACATGTACCCCCGGATCTAAAATTTAAAAAGAACAAATATTCAATTATGTATAAATGGCCTTTGACTAAAGGGCGTCTAAAATTTATTTCCATGAATGGGGAATACTCTAAATCACTTTATTACAAAACCAAACACAAGATAGAAAATATAGATTCTTACTGTTTCCGATATAAGGTGCCAGAGAGCATCCCCTCACCTTTGCCATAATCAAATGTCTAGAACAAGTCACAGATGTAGCTATACCTTATGAAAGAGGATGATTAGAGTTGTAACCAAAAAGCAGAAATCATGGGGCATCTTAGAATTTTGCCTATCACAACTACTCTTGTACAAAAATGTGATCCTACATTTCACATTGGTGGGCATACTGTGTTTCTGTAAGAAAAAAAAAAAAAAACAGTCTCAGAAAATATTCTCCTTGATACTGGGCTTTTGATCCTCAGCATCTTTACTTTTGGGGGCCAGAAAACTCTTTCTTGATTGCAAAGGAGAGCAGTCCTGTATCTCACAGTATTGCCATTATTAACTGGATGTCAGCAGAAGCCCCAGTTGTTACAACCAGGAATGTCTCCAGACACTGGCAAATCTCTTAAGGATACAAAAGCACCTTCAGTTGAGAACCACTGCTTTTGTCTATGTATGACCATATTTAACAGATGCAGGCACCACCAGGAATCTCTTGAAACAGTAAGGTGCATTGGGAAATCTGACCTGGTATTTATTCTTTGAAGTTAGGGTTAATGGGAGACTTCTGTTTTCTTGACAACTACTGAGACTATACAACCCACCAGAGCAAGATTACTTCAGAAAATTATCTTATGTATGAAAAAGTTTAGAAGCCAAATGTTCCTCCATCTGTTGTTTTCCAGAAACTGGGTAGATTCAGTTTTCCATTTGGTAGCTCCCCTTTCTAACAATTCCAAGGCAAGTCTTGTACTACTTCCACAGGAGACATGACAATTATGGGCTTCTAGGGAGATGAGCTGATTCCATCCCTTCCTTATAACCATGACTTGGTGGCCTCATCTCACATATACAGATTCACTCCAAAGACTAAACTGGGTAGGTATCTGTTTATCAGCTTTATTATCAGTGAGTGCTCAAGACTCTACCTAGGTGGTTTGATAAAGCAGAATATTCTTAGCAAACTGTTTCATTTTCATTCTCATACTTTTAATGTTATAAGACATTTAATTTTTTTTTTTTTTTTTTTGAGATGGAGTTTTGCTCTTGTTGCCCAGGCTGGAGTGCAATGGCACAACCTCCGCCTCTTAGCTTCAAGCGATTTTCTGCCTCAGCCTCCCAAGTAGCTGGGATTACAGGCATGTGCTACCATGACCAGCTACTTTTTTATTTTTATTTTTAGGAGAGATGGAGTTTCTCCATGTTGGTCAGGCTGGTCTCGAACTCCTGACCTCAGGTGATCTGCCCGCCTTGGCCTCCCAAAATGTTGGGATTACAGGCATGAGCCACGACTCCCAGTTCACACTGAATAATTAATCTTATAACAAATCTGTGGAAGCACATTTTTATTTTTTGTGATGTTCTAATTGAATTCGTGTTGTCTTTTTCTCATTTAAAATTAAACTGCATTTAAAATTTTAAATTTAAAAAATCTCATTTAAACTGCAATGAGAAAAAAATTAAAAATTGTTCCTAAATATCATTTGCCTAATATAATTCTATTTAAACTGCAACATGACAGATGTTTTCTGAAAAAAAGTCTCCTAAGTAATCAAAAGGAAATGATGTTGAGTATTATACTTTTCTAAAACAAGACAGTTTACATTTTCTAAGTTTATAACTACCTTCAACTGGAGACTGGACTAAGAGTTTCAATGTGAATGACAATTTTCTAGCTTATCTGCCTAATGTTTTCTCTAATGGTAGCTTTTTGAATTTAACTAGAATCAGCCCTCCTACTTAACATTTGGGCCCTATTCCATTATGGAGAATTAGATCACTGACTTCATTAGTGCCAGAAGAATCTATTCTAATACACTGTTAAAAAGCAATTTAATGGCCAAGCATGGTGGCTCACACCTATAATCCCAGCACTTTTCAAGGATGAGGTGGGCAGATCGCTTAAAGCCAGGAGTTTGGGACCAGCCCGGGCAACAAAGCAAAACTCCACTTCTACAAAAAGATAAAAAAAATTAGCCAGGTGCTGTGGCATGCACCCATATTCCCAGCTACTTGGGAGGCTGAGGTGGGAGGACTGCTTGATCACCCAGGAGGAGTTCAAGGCTGCAGTGAGCTAGGATCACATCACTGCACTCCAGCCTGGGCAATGGGGCAAGACCCCATCTCTAAAGAAAATAAAAATACAAAGTAATTTATTAATCACAATATCTCAGTAACTTAAAAGTTTCCCTCAAGTTAACTAATTGCTAAATTCAACTAGTTCCTACCCACCTTACAAACAAAAAAGATATATATATATATATATATATATATATAACAAAGAAGTTTTATTGTAACTTAAAAATAAAGTGTCACTATGTTATAAACACGATTCACAGAGTATCTTAGATAAAATAGTGAGGACAAGTTCCAGAACCCCCAGTGGATGCTTAAAAATACAAATAATATCAAACCCTATATTTTCCTAAACATGTAGACCTATGATAAAGTATAACTTATAAATTAGGCATAGTAAAAAATTAGTAAGTTGTAATAAAATTGAACAATTATAATATACTATAAGAAAAGTTATATAAGTGTAGTCTCTCTCCATCTCTCGAAATATCTTATTGTACTGTTTGTTGGATAACCAAAACCGTAGAAAGCAAAACTGCAGGTAAGGGGGGACTACTGTATACACAGCTTTGGGTTTCATGGTAACACAGCTCTCAATGTCAGTCATTTTTATCTAGTAAGTAGTACTTTGAAAAAGACTATGTCAGAGTTTACTGTCCTGAGCCACATTTATATGAATATATAAATATATATAATGTATATCTTTGAGCAATGATAGCCAACAGTGTCAAAACGTACTGTTATAATCATACTGTACATAAAAGTTTGAAAATCCTATTTAAAAGAAAAATATACACAGTAAAAGAGAGCTGACAATATTCAGTTAAACTAAAGTACTCACGTCGATGCCCAACCCATCAAAGGATTTTCCCATCGCTCCCTGGTATCAAATTCCATCTTCCATTTCTTTGTGTTGTTTACTCCAGATTGCATGTTATTGCGAGCAGGAACAAAGATTCTGACTTTTCTAGTTTTTACATGCTCTTCTGGAACACCAGTTAAAGTAGTGATATCCTATAGGAAAGCACAAAAAAAAACCAAAAAACAAAAAAACAACAAAAAAACATGTTTCAAACAGCCTACATACTCACTAATGTACTTTTGTTGTTTCCTATATTCATGCAACTCTATTTAGATTTGTTCATGAATTGAGATAAACTTTCTGGCTTATTTCACTACCACTCTGATACTTTACAACATAAATTGCTATTTAGATACCTGTAAATGGTTTATTTAGGGGGTAGTGTTAGGAGACAGTGGAAAAGGGTCTTTAAAAAAATTTATGCCCTTTTGTCCAACAAAGTATTGGTATTTTCTGAAGAGACTGTTTGCTCGCAGAAGAGCCTGTAGTCAACGTGCTCTTATTTTGTGAGCAAGTGTAACTAGTCAGAGGAGAAAAAATATAAGGGACATATAAAAAGCAAATCTTTATTTGTATGTTTATTTAAATCTTAAATAGAAGACAATCTGTTACTTATAGTTTCTGTGTCAAACTGCTTACCCACAAGGCATTACCTTCAGAGGGAAACCTGAACCTTTTTTAAACAATTAAAATTAACAACTTTAATTAGTACTTTGATTTATCTTCCTTTGGTGAAACCTACTAAAGAGAATGATACAATCAAACATATTCTGCAAAAGCAACCCCAAAAAGTGGCACAATTTTTGCCAAAATGTGAGATGCAAACAATGGTAACTTTAACTCAATTTTCTATAATTTTATCCAGTAACAAATGCTCATTTAGAAAATGCACAGAATATTGGCACCCCAGAGTAGACACATTAATATAAAAACATAGTGGCAGTCAGGACACAAATTAGTAAAGTAATTCAGAGTTTAAAACTTATTTATGCCTAGTGTTCCATTATTGGAATGCTAAGCATGTGGGAGTTATTTATATCCTACTGCTCAAGGTCATTGCTAAAGTCTGGTCACAAAAATTAAAAACATTAAAAAAAAAAATTGCAGAGAGAGATCCAAGATGGCTGACTAGCAGCAGCTCAGGATTGCAGCTCCCAGTGAAGGCGCAAGGAGTGAGTGGACACCAGACTTCCAGACGAATTTTTGTTGCCTACGGACCAGAAGATTCCCAGTGGAGAAGTCCCACGGGTCGCCAGCATGACTCTTTTGGCTGGCACGGCTGTTTTGCCAGCATCCGGGCGCGGCGGTTCTCAGTACGGAGTATGCGGGACTGGGTGCCCTTTTAGTTGGTGTTTGGAGCTCCAGGAAGGCAGAGTCACCCATTCAGCTGACTGAAAGGGGGACTGAAGCCGGGAGCCAAACAGGGAGATTTCCGGGAAGAAAAGCACCACGAATCTCAGCACCACTGCTGTTTCAGCCGGCATGGTCGCTATGCGGAAAACTGCATAGATCTCGGAGCCTTTTCCGCTGGCGACTGGGGCACCTGGGAGAATTGACCGTTCCATTAGGAAAAGAAAAAAAGGGGGCTCCGAGGCGGAAGCCACGTGATCGGGCTTGGCTGGTCCTACCCCCACAAAAAAACAGCAATTGGAAACGCCAATGGTTGAGAGTTTCACAGCAAGCAGAGCTGGACCTTCCCGGTTCAGCAGCACCCAGGAAGGTCCAGCTTTGTGGGGAGGGGCGTCCACCAAAGGAAAACAAACAGAAATAACATCACCAACAACAAGCTGGACGTCCATTCAGAGACCCAACCTGAAAGAAAGCAATTACAAAGACGACAGGTAGATAAATCCACAAAGATGGGAAGAAAACAGCGTAAAAAGGCTGAAAACATCCTAAATCAGAATGCCTCTCTTCCTTCAGGGGATCGTAGCTCCTCATCAGCAAGGGAACAAGGCCTGATAGAGAACAAGTGTGATGAATTGTCAGAATCAGGCTTCAGAAGGTGAATAATAAGAAACTTCTGTGAGCTAAAAGAACATGTTCTAACCCAATGCAAAGAAACTAAGAACCTTGAAAAAAGGTTTGAGGAAAGGCTAACAAGAATACACAATTTAGAGAGGAATATAAGTGAATTAATGGAGCTGAAAAACACAATACTAGAACTTCAAGAAGTATGCACAAGTTTTAACAGTCGAATTGATCAAGCAGAAGAAGGGATATCAGAGGTCAAAGATCAACTCAATGAAATAAAACGAGAAGACAAGATTAGAGAAAAAAGGGTAAAAAGGAATGAGTGAAAGTCTTCAAGAAATGTGGGGCTATGTGAAAAGACCTAATCTACGTTTGATAGGTGTACCTGAATGTGATGAAGAGAATGAATCCAAGCTGGAAAATATTCTTCAGGATATTATTCAGAAAAACTTTCCCACCAAAGGCAGGACAATATTCAACTCCAGGTAATAGAGAGAACATCACAAAGATATTCCTGAAGAAGAGCAACCCCAAGGCACATAATCGTCAGATTCACCAGGGTTGAAAAGAAGGAAAAAATGCTAAGGGCAGCTAGAGAGAAAGGTCAGGTTACCCACAAAGGGAAGCCTATCAGACACAGCAGATCTCTCAGCAGAAACCCTACAAGGCAGAAGAGAGTGGGGGTCAATATTCCAACATCCTTAAAGAAAAGAACTTTCAACCAAGAATTTCATATCCAGCCAAACTAAGCTTCGTAAGTGAAGGAAAAATAAAATCTTTTGTGAACAAGCAAGTACTCAGAGATTTCATCACCACCAGGCCTGCTTTATAAGAGCTTCTGAAAGAAGCGCTACACATAGAAAGGAACAACCAGTATCAGCCATTCCAAAAACATACCAAAAGGTAAAGAGCATCAACATAATGAAGATTCTACATCAACGAATGGGCAAAACAGCCAGCTAGCATCAAATGGCAGTATTAAATTCACATACATTATTATTAATCCTAAATTTAAATCGACTAAATGCCCCAATCAAAAGACACAGACAGGCAAATTGGATAAAAAGCCAAAACCAATTGTGTATCCTTGCATGTGAGATGGGCCTGGATGTATGCTGCATCCAGACCCATCTCACATGCAAGGATACACAAAGACTCAAAACAAAGGGATGGAGGAAGATTTACCAACCAAATGGGGAGCAAAAATAAAATAAAAAGCAGGAGTTGCAATTCTCGCCTCTGATAAAATAGACTTTAAAGCAACAAAGATCAAAAGAGGCAAAGAAGGACATTACATAATGGTAAAAGGATCAATACAACAAGAAGAGCTAACGATCCTAAATATATACACACCCAATACAGAAGCACCCAGATACATAAGGCAAGTTCCTAATGACTTATAAAGAGACTTAGACTTCTACATAATAATAGTGGGAGACTTTAACATCACATTGTCAATATTAGACAGATCAACGAGACAGAAAATTAACAACGATATCCAGGACTTGAACTCAGACCCGGAACAAGTAAACTTAATAAACATTTATAGAACTCTCCACCCCAAATCCACAAAACATACATTCTTATTAGTACTACATCACACCTACTCTAAAGTGACTACATAATTGGAAGTAAATCACTCCTCAGTAATTGCATAGCATTTTACAGGCTTAAATGAAATATTGGTTGGCTGCTTGTTTGTTATTTTCCTCCCTTATTCCTTCCTGTCTCCATTGTTAAGCACAATTATTGGCATAAAAGAGGTTTTTGATACCCATTTTTAGACTGCATTCTAGCCTGGGCAATAAAGCAAGATTCCTGTTCTCTCTGCCTCTTTCTTTCTCTCTTTCATTCTTTTTTTTTTTTCATTTTCTTTTCTCTCAAAAAAAAAAAAAAAAATTGCAAGCTCAGCCATAAATGCATTAAATCTCCATTTAGTAGTGGTAAAATAGGTAAAATACTTCATTTGATCAAAGTAAATCACACTGGGGTCTACCATATCCTTATTAATGAAGCATTTAAAAAATCATGGTTCACTTACTAATATACATTTTGGATAACTTGGTAAAAACAAGAGTTAACATAAAATTATACCAAACTTGTGAAAACTAGAAAATGCCTGTGAATTTTTACATCATTACATACACCCTAATGAAGACTAATGTTTATTTGTAGTTTCAATCTAGCAATGCTATGAACCAAATAATTAGCAAGGATACTTAGCTGCAATATGTACTAGTGGGAAAAACACTAAGCACATTTCTGATAGAGAGACTTGACTAGTCTCTCTATCCATAGTCTCTCTATCCACAAGATTAAAAACCAATTCTTTAAAGTTATTTTAGTTGGCAACCAATCCATTATTCAACACAATACCTTTCTGCCGGCACCAATAATTAGGTGTAGCTTTGTCACAGCTTGTCTGTTTAGAGAAACTATCAAAATGATCCATATAAATATTTACACAAATATGTACTTCTAATATGTGCCTACATTTATTTTTTCTCAAGTTTATTTACATTTAGGTTAAAGTAAAAACAAAATGGGCAAAGTTGGTGCATAATTTTTAAAGGTGAAATGTTTTAGTTGGTAATTTCTAATATTGAGATTCAACTTCAAAAAAAGTTTAAGTATTACTGCATTTAATGACTTTCTGAAAAATATGTCTCTACTTAAGAGCTTAAAGTGGCTCAACTCCTGGAAAGTCCTCAATGTTTAATTCCCCCTTTGTATTCACTATAATACTTGCAATCTGGCATAGTAGTCTATTATTCAATATTACGTATTTTAGATTAATCTATCTCATTTCCTCAGCTACAGCTTAAGTAGGGTATAAACAAACACCATAAGCATGTTATAAATTATGGAGTGGGGCATCTTTTCCAAATTCCAAAGTTCATAAAAGCCCTGGAGCTGTAAGTTATGTCTCTTTTTAAAACTAACTATATGAAAGGTAACACATTAAACATTAAACTCTTAACACTAGTTACCTCAGGAAGACTAGAGGACACACTTTACCTACGTCTATAAGGTGATGCATATATGCCAAAGTGATTAAAAAACTTAAAATTTTAAACGTTTTCAAGCTTTGAAAAAAATGGAAATAGTATTTCTTGATTCATACTATAATACAATATTGGATCTACAAAGTAGAAAAGGACAGAATAAATTTTAGGAT